TAGTGGGAGGAAAAGAATCTCTACGCCTGCAGGAGAACATAAGTCCCTTAGGTGTGATGCCCTATAGAAGCTGGCATTATCCATAATGAGAACAGACTTGGGCTGCGGGAAACTGCCATAATGGCGAAGCAACTGTTTGATGAAGTCCTCAAATATAACATGGTCTGTTGAACCTCGAAAAATACGCAAAAGCATTACGCCTTCTTGAGTATATACAGTAATAAATTGGTGCCTCTTCTCCCGTTTGAACTCTGCTGTGTGGACTGGGGTTATTCCTACAGGAGCCCAACCTTTGCGCCGTTGCACTGTTAAAGTGTCGCAACCGGACTCATCAATGAATATAAGGTGATAGGACTTGTATTTCGCTAATTTATGATGGTACAGATGTCGCAGTAATAAGTTCCTTTGGTTCGCAACCCAACGAGTTGACTTATTAGACCACCTCTTCGTTTATAAAGCACGAGTGATGCTACTGAGTGATACATCTACTTCATACTCAAGCTGTAGGAATAGTTTTATTTCCTCGCGATACATGCATAGCCTCTTTATTAGTTCATAACATAATGCTTCTAGCATACCTGATAATATGCTTCGATGGCGTCCGGTCCTATTCGGCGGCGGTCGTGTGGCTCCAAAACGACGCAGATTGGAGCGTATTCGACGGATAGCGCGTTCGCTACATTCGACTTTCCTTGCAATTTTTCTAGTTGATTTTTCGCTATACAGCAGAGCCTTAATCTGCTTGTGCTTAGAGTCAGTTAGTTATCGTGCCATTGGTGCTGTTCGGTAGAGTTTGGAAAAAGCTGAAATCTGCCAGAAAGAAGGAGGGAACGGGGGAATCAAGACTGGGGGGTTGATGAGTACCTGAACTACCAGTCCTTGATTCTGTAGCACAATGAAGCCACTTTTAGACTAGCTCGTGAACATATGAAAGACCGTAGGCACACTGTGTCAGCCACATGTGGCTGATTATAGCACTAAGAATCACAATGTCCATTAAAGAGAAAAAGCGGACACTCCTTTCGGTCAACCCTGTATACCGGGAATCAGCTGTATATAGCTGATATAATATACCTACGGTCTTTTGTATATTTAAAGCTAGTATAAAAATAGCTTTATTATATTATAGAATTAAGGACTAGTAGTTTAGGTACTTATTAATCCCCCAGTCTTAATTTCCCTATTCTCTCCTTCTTTCTAGCTGATTTCAGCTCTTCCTAAGCATGCATAAGGTTATTTCTGGAATGACATTACTTGATAGGTAATGGGACGAGGACGCAAACAAGGCCCCTGTAACGGTTGGTTGACTTACACTGGACGGGGTCTAGGGTAGGTCGGGGCTGAACCAATCAGAGTGCTGTTCTGAGTGGCGCGATCAGGTTGTCTCAAGCTGTGCAATGCGCTGTCAATGTGCGAGTATTGTGGAGCTAGTAACAATAGATACGTAGACAATTGTATTAATAACTGCTAAAAGAGTGTTCTATCTAATGAAATGAATATATATATATACTAGGGGATCATTGAGGCTTGGCAATAATCCATCGCCCTGGATCATTGGGATCTCTTCGAGAGGACCGGCTTGCTGTCGATATGGGCGCTCGGTGGCCGAAACGAGGAGCCAAAGCTTGGCGATAGTACTAGCTCTCTATCAGCAGAGCTCATACAGTGCATTGAACGGCAGCTAGCTGCACCTATACAATTAAGAGTCCACCTACCTTTGAAGCAAGATAGTCACTCATCGCTAATACAATCAGGACACTGTATTGCCTGTATAGAAAGGGGGACTGGGTACAGTTTCGTTATACGCCTCGGGCAACTCGACGTTGATAGGTGGTTTATATCTTCTAGTATAGCTCGTTCGTGACTATATGTAACAGGAGCGCCAAGCAAAGGTAACCCGTATTAATGTCCTTCTACTCCCCCGCCTTTCCGATAGACCATATACGCATTGTTTGTTAGGCGATAGCTTGATTTGCAATTCTACTACCCCCGCTAACTTCATTCTTCTTGTATTTCTGGTACCTGCTTGGACTGGAGCTTGGCACATATAGACTCTGTAATACCACATCATCACTGGTGCAATATGCTCCCACCCTGCTCCCCAGTCCGTTGGGCGAACTGCGAATACCTCCAAAATGCGGTCGGTAATTCGGCTAGGCATATATATTTATCCACCTTAATAGGTAATATCTTGAATTTGTTTTTCGGCCCATAAGAGTAGTGAAATTACCTTATTAAACTTTTGTTCTTCTGCCTTTGAGCTTTCCATAAAAAGAGCAGCTGGAATAATCATCTCCTTCATCCCAATAGAGTCCAGTATCTGTATTGCTGATTTGAAAACTGGCAAAATGTTACAGTCCTTATAATAGTTAACTGCTCCATAGATAAAGGGTAGGAATAAACGGATATAGTGCTTCTCAATGACTTATAGAGTACTGATATAGCTATCCAGAAATTCAGAAAAGCGCTTATTCAGTCGAAGAGCCCCGATATAGCTGTCTAGAAGTTTCTTCTCAATCGTCTTACAGGTAAAAATCATCGACTGAATATCCCTTCCTTCCACATTTTCAATAATACTAAATAAAATCTCGTTCGGGATAGTGGTAACTGTAGGCATTAACATCTTCAGGCGAGTGGGAAGAAATTGATTTGGGTAAGGCTGAGGACAACGGGGAGGCCTTATATATCCGTCGAAGGCGGCCGGTACATGCTTACGTGGGCTGGATGGGGTCGGTTAGCAGAGATATCATCACTGGTACGAGGGAAAAGATAAACATACGGCAAGAGGGTGATTATGTATATCAAGACAAGGGGCTGTACATGCTTGGACTCCGCCACGCCTTGACCCCGCCACCTTGTAGGGAGGCCAATAGGTACACACTTAGATGCACATACAAGTGTCACGTATTGTGCAACAGGTACACGTATAAGAAGCCTAACCCCCCTGTAACTCAGCCAGCTAGTCGCAAGTTTTGCCCGAATTATTTCTAATTCAAGACGCAAGACGACGAGCTATTATACAGATTCTTTTTCACGGTGATATAGTCATGCCATACTGAAAGGGGCTTTACTATAGTATTTCGTTACATCGTAGGCCTGCCTAGTAACTGGTGCTTTGTACGGCGCCCGAAGGGTGATGAACCATAGTCATCTTACCGAACCATCTTGCATTTAATAGCGCGTTCTGGGATTTTGAATCATCTTAGGGCGGGGACACATACAGTACAACTAGATATCCACAGGCTAACTAAATTCCGAAAACTTAGTCAGCCGTCTCTTCTCCACGTAACCCCATGCTGTGCCACAGGTTGCGATCGGCTTATGACCTTACGATAACGATAAGACAACCGGCATATATTATTGGCCATTTAAGAAAAGCCAAGGCCGTATATATGCGCGCGGTACATCACAATCAGCCTTACTCGCTAGGTGGAGGGAAGGGGAAAACTCCGGTAGCTTTATTCAGTTAGCTAGCGCACGCGCACGTGATACTCTTTACGCGTATCAAGCTATGACGATACGTGATCACGTGAGTTCGCGACAGGCTGGTACGTACTGTGCTTACCCGACGGAAAGGGCTGATTCCTTGTTATAGCGCCAGGTTTAGGTCGCTCCGGAGCGCAGGAGCAAAAAATGGCTGCAAGAGATTAGGCCTTAGAAGAGCCCATGCGGCATACCGTAGCCTAGTACCTATCGATTGAACATAGGCGTTGTCCCCAACACTATTTACCAAGATTCCGCAGTGCCCTTTTTACTAGCTTATCAGCCTCTGTATTCTGCTCCCAACGCACATACCAGAACAAGACTTCAACCCCCATCCTTTATAACAAGCATCTGCAGATCTTGGAACACCGCTAGCCAATAGGTCCACCCTATACTTCTTTTCAAGATCGCCTACATCAGTTCTAGTACCAGCATACAGTATATATACAATTATTGCTAGGGTTCTCAGATACCTAGCTTCTACATACAGGCATTAAAATAACCTAGAAACAGAATCTCGCAAGACAGGCATATAAATACTAAGTTTTGATACCATAACGCTTTAAGCCGTAGTTTTACAAGTACATCTTGTGTTCTAGTGTTTCATCGCAAACCCGACAATAGATCACATGATAGTCCTTTAAAATAGAAAGGTACCTACAACGAAAATACTTCGCTATATCACCAGACGTGTAAAACTCTCGGGCTAGATCTTTTATTAAAGGATCGTCTGGTTGTAAAGTAAGAGCTTTACCAACGTATAGAAAACAGTATCTAGGCCTCTCCTTCTCCGTTTTCACCCTGACGGCCTTGAGCGCGATATTTAGCGCTTTTAGCAGAGGACCTTCCTCCTTGGTATCCTTGCAATGCATGTGTTAAGGCTTAGCTGATGATGTGTTTATGCGCCGCATAGCCGGTCCTTCTTCAACCGTGCAGTATATAATAATAGCATTAATTACATCATCCCGCCTTCGATAATAGCCCTCGATCGTATTATCATACTTAGCAGCTAGGGATTGTACCAGATATTTTTGGGCTGATCCTTGAGGACGGCACTTCTTATCAACAACTTGGTTAGGGTTCTATTCACCTCTCAGTTAACGCTCAATATCATCAACAGCCTGGTTGTCCGTCCACTCATGTCGGATATTTATCTTAAGCGACCTTTTGAGTCTCAGTTTCTCATTTCGCAGCGTACGAAGGGTTTCAGCGCGTTCATTAGACCCTCGCTCCATTCGTCAGAGTTACTGTTTGAGTTTCCTGATAACAGGGTGCGTGTTTATAGAGGCAGCTTGCTCAGCAGTAAGGTCTGTTGGTCGGCGCTTGCTAATTGAGTGACCAACACTGCAGGCCTGTTTTATTAGCGCCTGCTATAGCCTTTGACCTCGGAGAATGGCCTATGTATCCGCGTTGACTTCTCGCCCGAGATAATGTTTCTAAAATAGGACGGAGTTGGCATAGTCTAAAGTTAGGTTTCGTAACGCTTTGCTAACATCAACTATATATCGTGCTTATTAGCGACAGAAGATCTTGGGACTATCTGGGAGTTGGTAGAAAAACGAACTACTTTGGTCAAACCCATTAGCTGCGGCATAGCACAGACTGTATAGTATCGTAGCATACATAAAGCCTAGTATCTTACCAATTCGTCTGATCTATCCCGCTATCATTTCATACGTGATAGGTGCGTCCATAGAGATATTATACCCAGTAAGGGTCTTGATAGCGCGGCGGAATACCAGACAGTTATCGAACTCTTTCTTCAAAGGTAGTGGTAGCTCCTTTTCTCCTTCGTGAATATCGAGAATATCTAGTTTATCGGGGGAGATAAGGCTTGGAGCCTTGAAAACCTGATGGCGAAACAGGATACCTAAAAGGTAGATATGAGGGCTGAGGAATAGTGAAGGATCAAAGAAGTTCTCAGGAACTGTAAAGGTCTTACTGTAGTATAGTAGCAAAAAAATATTAGCCTTCTAGCATAATATAGGTTCATCGTCTAACACGAGTAATACATACATATCTTTAACTCCAAGATATGTCTTTGTAAAAGCCAAGGTGAAACGAGTAAGGATATTATATGCACCACCTTCAGGATCCCGTGCTAACACTATACGAATATTACCGAATCGAAGTCGTAAAATAGATACAGGGTGAGCGCCAGCAGGCGTAAGTAAAAGGAGAAATAAAACTGTGAGAATTCGAATCTCTCCTAGCTGAAAAGATTTTTCGGTTGTACTTAGTATTATCTGAACCTGCTCCGACAGATCTTCAATAGTTATATAGCGGTTCACCCGCTTCTCATCGCTCAGCCCATGCTTTTTAGCTAGGTCTCTAAGAGCCTGGAAGCTCATATTAGAATTTGTTCTGGGGAAAGGGTATAATAAAAAATTCCTACTCTGTATATCTTCCGGTTCAATTTTGGGTCAATCTTATCGCCGGTAGCCCTTTTAACGTATAGCTGGAACACTTTCCAGTATATACTTAAGGAACTTTTCTTCTTTATTCTACAGAGCTTTCTGCCATCTTTATTGACTTTTTGATTTAAGCGCCAGTTAAAGAAATTACATAATATCCCAATAGAAAGGGATATATAACTTGCTTTAGGGTCGCGGTCAACAACCTTGCAGAACCTATAAATAAAACCTATTAGTATGAACTGTTGAGAGCGGAACTAATTACTTACTCTTTCCATGTATCTTCTATTACATTCAAGAGAATATCACTGCCTGGGCTGTAATCTTGACCGTCGTAATAGCTCTCATCAAAGTCCTTTACTGCGTTTTAATAGTATTCTGGTAGGTGCGTATTTCCACTAAATAGGTTAACAGCGTCTTTAAAGTCCACTTCGTCGTTATCGGGAGACTCTTCTGAGATAGTCTTATCGCTCCTACACTCGGAGCCCTTATGACTATCGTTGTCAAAAACACTATCAATATCAGACTTATCTGAATATTCTGAGTCTAAATCGGAGTATTCTGGGTCGAGATCAGGAGGTAACCGCACAGTAGGAGATATACTGCAGTCTGGCGTGTGAATCCAAAGGAGTAAGAACATAGAAATTCAAGAGAGGAAGGAGTTGTAGTAGGAGGAAAAGTAAAGGGTTATAGGGAGATAAGGGTTAGTTGGAAATTAAGAAGCGAGGATAGGAAGGAATAAAAGGATAGGGGAAAATAAATATGGCGGCGAGTAGGTACGGTACTTATAGATTTATGGAACGGCTGCTAAGTGCTAATTGTGACATGAAATGGTCCATTTTGGCACCTTGACCAGACCTCAGGGACCAACTTCTTGGCGACTGAGCAAACGGCTTACCTGACTGCTATGGTGGAGCTGGAGAGCAGTACCGTGGTAGTACTTGTTGATGTTCTGACAGGGGTCTGTTGAAAGACGGGAGCTTAAAGCGGCGAGAGGTTTTGGGCAAATTTGCCGCCAAGAATGATGGCTCAATCCGGTAAAATTGGGGGCAATTTCGCCGTAACAACTTTATTTAGAGTAAAGTCTCTCTAAGTAAGGAAAACTATATTATAAAAGATAGTAAAAGATAATAAGATTACCTTAGATAGTATAAATAAGATAGTAAGAAAGATAAGAGTAAAGAAGCTAATATTTAAACCTACTAAGGAAGAGCTAAACTCTTTTAGTTACCTCTAGCAGGCTTTATCTAAATAGTTTTTCCTATAGTACCTAGATCCGGATAAGTACTTATTTATTAAGGTAGATATATATAAAAACAGGTTCAGTATATATATATTCTAATTAAACTATAACTAGGATAGATCTAGTATTTCCAGTAAGGATATACTATCTTCTAGATTATAACTGATCCTATTTATATCTCAGATAGTATTAGCTACTGAAAGAGTATATAGATTAATAGAGGCAGAGGTTATAGCTATAGCTTAAGCCTTATAAAAATTAAGATATATAGTATAGTCTAATTACTATATAGTAAATATTATTATTAATTATATAGTAATAAAGGGTATTATTATATATATATTATTAAAGACTCTAGATCTAAATAAAGCTAATCTAAAGCTAGTAGGAATTATAAATTAGCTTTTCTAATTTAGATTAAATATCTTCTATATTAAAGGTAAACTTAATATAGTACTAGATATACTATTAAGGCTTCTAGTTATTAACCTAAGAGAAGTAGTAGTAGTAGAAAGTAGATATAATAAGCTGAAATATAATATAATAGAAGAAAGCTATAGCCTAGTAGAGTCTAAGATCAGAAGAGTAAACTATATACTTAACTATATAGTAATAAATATTAAAATAGTAATAGATTCAGCCTTTATATAATAGCTTATATATAGCTATCAGATAGATCTAAGATTCTAAAAAATTATTAAGTATCTAAATCTTATTAAAGAATTAAAAGTAGATAAAGCTAGTAAGATATTAGTAAAGATTAAGGAACTAAAGTTTATACTAAGGTTTCTATTAAAATAGTTTTACCTAAATAAAGATAGTCTTTTATTCTATATAGCAGGTAATAGCTAGAGCAGACTATATATACCGGAAGACTATATAGCTATTATAATATAAAGTATATATAATAATAAATACTACTTTAGTATAAAAAGAATAATTACTAAGCTTAAAAGATATTAAATCTAATTACTTATAAGAAAAGTCTAGTAGTATATCTATTACTACCTAACTTACTATAAAGTAGGGATAGTTAGAAGTATACTTATAGAAGAGTTAAGACTAAGCTAGATCTACTCTTAGCTATTCTATATAATTATATTAGATTTTATTATAGACCTACCTAAGATCCCCTTAGTAGGAACTTACTAGACTATAGAAGGGTTTATAAAATTAAATACTTTAGCTCCTATAAATAATATATTCTTAAAAAAGATAATTCTTCTTACAGGGTATATAATATATATAGCTATAGAGTAGATAATAATCCTGATTAGAAAACTCTTTCTTATAGATTAGGGTTTTCCTAAGTATATTCTTAGTAATAGAGATCCGAAGTTTATATTTAAGATATAGAGAGAGGTATTTTAACTTATAGGAATAAAGTTACTAATATTAACTATATATTATCTATAAATAGATAGTATCTCTAAGAGAAAAAACTAAACTATTAAGATAGTAATATAATACTATATACTAGAAGAACCTGAGATTAAATAAGTAGATATACTCCTAGCTTTATAGTACTAGCTAAATAATATAAAGATTAAAATACTTAGAAGATCTCTAAATAAGCTAGTTATAGGATTCTAGCTATACTCTAATCTGGATATTATAAGTTAGATAAATCTAATTCCTTTAGAAGAGTAAAGTATTATATTAGAAGTACTTAGGAAGTTATACTAAAAAGAGACTATACTTACCCTAGATATAGTAGTAATATTAGTAAAGAAAAGGTATAATAAGTTAAGAATAGTAGTAAATATTACTAAGGATAATATTATCTATCTATATCTCTATAATAGCTATTAGTTATCTAGAAACCTAAAGAAGAAATAGTCTCTAACTAGATCCAGCCTATAGAAAGTCCTGGAAGTAGTTTACCTATAGGTAGTTAAGTTAAATCTACTAGAGTACTATAAAGTATACCCTATAGTATTAACTATATAGCTATAGAAGCTAGCTTAAGGAAAAGATCCTTATAGGAGAGAGCTATAAGAACCTGATCTAGTTAAGTTAGATAAGGGAATAGATAATATATATAAAATTAAATAGATACTTAACTATAGAAGGGTAAGAGATTACTATATATAAGTTAAATATCTGGTTTATTAGAAAGATTAGGGAAGTAAAGATAACTCTTAGGTTAAAGAAAGAGATCTAGTTAAAAGTACCTAAGAGCTACTTTAGGAATATAAGGTAAGTAAACCTAAGGCCTTCTTTAGTAAAGAGATAGAGTTAGTATACTAATATAGTATCCGGCCTACCTATAGATAAAGTATACTACTAAATAATATAGAGAGCTTATCTATAAGGTAATAGCTATTAGTAGCTAATAGATAATAATAAAGCTAATATATTAAATATACTATAGCCTGCTCAGACTTAATAACTTCTCTTTATATAAAATATATACTTATTATTTTTATTTTCTTTAGCTAATCTCTAATATCTAAAACTAGCTATATTAAGACTAGAACCCCTCTAAGTAAAAACTCTTAGAAGCTATAATTATCTATTAGAAAGCAGGTAAGATTCCTATATACAGAATACCTAATCTACTTCCTTAGCCTTAATATCCCTAAGTTCAGCTATATTAATAAATCTCAGGTTAGTTAGACTTAGAAGTAAATTATAGCTGTACTTAATAAGTACCCGGTTAATAAGGAGCTTAGTAAGAGGGGTAAGAAACTTAATAGTATAGCTTTAAAAAACCTAGCTGAATATAACTATAGAGCCCTCCTGGAGATAGTTAAAGATAACTTTAAGAAACCAGCTGAAAATAAGTCCTAATAAGACTTTTATATAGAGGCTTATAGAATTATAAAACAGTTAGAAGAGTTATTTACTATACTTTAATAATTACCTATACCGGAACTAATTACCTATCGGAAGAGAATATCTACTATATCTCCTAAAAATATAAGATTAGTATCTTATAAGAGCAAGAGGGAGGCCCCTAAGACTCTAGCTAAAACTCTAGCTAAAACTCTGGCTAAAAAAGCTAATAAAAAATTATTAACCTCAGTTATAATATCTTTAAAGAATAAAAAGATATAAGTAGTAGCTTCTAATAAGAGCTAAGAAGACCCCTTCTATAACCTTAAAGAAACTAAGATCTCTATAGAGGAGGATAGTAATAATAAGGATATTCTAATAGTAGTATAGAAAAAGATTACTATATTAAAGGTAAAGATAATTAAAATTATATCTAATAAAGAAATAACCTATTCCTCTTTTAATAAAGATAAACAGCCTATAGTAAGAACTAATAAGAAAGGTACTAATAATATATATCTATTAATAGTAAAAAACTATAGCTACTATATAGACTAGATTATAACCTATTAAAATAATAATAATATACCCTATTAGAAGGTATATTTTAACTACTACTAAGTAAAAGGTAGTAATAAATTACTTAATATCTTAGCCCTTAACTATATTATAGCTAGCTTTTAAAATATATTAGACTTTAAAAACTTAAATTACTTTCTTATAGAAGAGTTCTATAAAATTAAGAATAAGATTAAAGAAGTCTAGGAGGAGATTATTAAAGTAAAGGAGTTAAAGGTAGCTATAGACTATAAGGATTATATAAGTAAGAGTATATAGATTTACTATATTAAATAATAAGTTAATATTATAGTTAAGATATATATCTAGAACAGGGTTAAATATACTACTAATAAGTATAATACTAAGGATCCTAATAACTAACTACTAGCTAAAGTTAATATTTTAGCTCTTTACTATATTAATCCCTATACTTTTAATAGGTAAATTACAGCTAAACTAGTATTTCTAGATTATATAGACCTTATAATTATTAGTAATATACCTAAAGCTGAAATAAGAACTATCTATATATAGAAGATATATTTCAGATAGATTAATAAAGATCTTAAGTATAAGGTAGAGTATTCTAATTATAAAATAGTTAATTAATATAATAATAAGATATTTAAAGAGCTTAAAGGGAATATAAGCTATATTAATAACTTAGAAGAATCTAATATAGCTTTAGAGAAGAAAAATACTACTCTGGAGATAAGTATTACTACTTTATAGCTCAGGCTTAATATCCTTAAGGAGGCTAACTATAAAGTAGGTAAAACTTTATCTAAGTATAAAGTATTACAGATAGTTAATAAGGAGTAAGAGTTAGAGTTAGATAGAGCTAATAAGACTCTATCTAAGGCCCTAGTTATATATAGTAAATTAAAGCAGGCTATTAAAATACTATTAAAGAAGATATCTACTAAGGTAACTCTAGGGAAGTTAGCTATAAACCTAAAGACCTCTTCTAAGTATAAGCTAGAGAATAATCTAGAGGGATCTATAAGCTAATAGGCTAA